TTTTTGTTTTTTTGCCCTTTATCCCCGTCCCTCTTCTCCGCTGTTTTTCCCCCTCTTCCTTTCTCCCCTTTCTTTTCCTCATTCAAGTCTGTCCCGTATCTTGCAAGTGAAAATAAAAAAATAAAATAAACAATAAAAGGTGAATCAAATAGACCATTACGGCAAGGCTGGGATGGTCAATTTGGTAAAGTAAATCCGTTGGGCATCTTTCCTCGCCTTTAGACAATAATTCTGATGGCAAAAGAACCAAACGGGACAGGCAATAGATGAATAAAAGGTCAGATGCGTCTCTCAGGTCCTGTGTCAGGTTTTTGATGTATTGTTTTTCCTGCTTCTAAGGACATGACTTTCAGATACTGTTCTTCTGCTGTAGACAGTTTTTAGGTCTATCTATTTTTAGGTTTATCATCCTGTTTTTGAGGATAGGTTCCTCAATTCTTTAAGGACATACTGCAAAATTCTCAGATAAATGTCAGGTTTTCAACTAATAGCTTTTTAGGAATCAACTTGTTAGTCCAAAAATATAATTTTATGCCTGTCAAATTGAGTTATATTTGGTATTTTTGCAGATTTAACGATGAGGGGGCGAAATATGTTTTTGTGACAGGCTGCTCGTACTAAAGTGCCTTAAGAATTGGTTCTTGGGGCTAAATTGTGAATGTTTAGACTCAACATTGATTCATCCCTTGAGTTAGGTGACTTTTTTTTATTCTTGGATGAGGGTTAGCCCTTCGAAGACAAAGAAATAACTACTGCCACACAGAAACGCATTTCTCTGAGTGGTTTTTTTTGCTTGTAGACTTCCCCACTCTGTTCCCATCACAGCCCCATTTTCTGGGAAATGAGAAGTCGACTGCTCCTTATAAAATAAAGTCAAATAAAACTACACGGCCCACAATGCAACACGTCCATTCGCTATTATTGCAGGAAAGTACGGAACTGTCTAAAACACTCTTTACTTTCATTTTCGCTTTTTATGCTGAGTAACTGTGAGTATTTGTCCGTGTCGTGCACGGAATTGAATTACACAGAAAGAGAGCATATTCTTATTTCTAACCGCCTCCTGTGAAGTCAAAGCCTTTACTAAACTCTAATAAACAACTTCTGCTCTCCAAAGACGACATGGCTGCTGTGGATATTCGCCTCAAGTCGAAGAAACAGGTGAGTCCGCTAGCACAAAGTGTTATGTAGCAGCAAGCTAACTCTCCTTTCCCTTCACTTACATGGTTAGTGTGTCAGTGATGCTAGCAGGCGAGCTAGTGTCTATATAAGTGTTTGTTTTCATGGGGTTTGTCTACGGACAGCAGGGGTCACGGGAGGTGAGCAGCAGCAGGGGCTAAATAAAATGGTCATTTATAAGCAAGCCTAAAATCTGTGACTTTATTCTAGGTGGACGACTTCTGCCAAAAGCTCACCAAGGAGGTAACTCAAACGAAAATGAGAAATCTTTCCCAGCTCTGCTTCACAAGTTTGAATTGTTAATGTGGATTTTGTTACTTGGTTTTAACAGGCGGAGGTGCTGGTGTCAACATATTTCCCTCAGAAGCTCGAAGAGCTGCAGGAGCTGCTGAAGGTATCCACCTGTGTGACTGTGGGCACATACCACCGGGCTCTTGATTCTCACATTAGGTGACTTGTGTTTGTGCGTCAGTCTTTCAGATGCAACGATCTGCCTTCTTTGAAGGCTCCACTCGACATCCCGATACCCGATCCGGCGAAAGAGGAGGCCAAGCGCAAGAAAAAAGAGCAGGTGGGGACTCCATCCCAGAAGACTGTTCTTTAAAACTGTGATATAAATCCAATAAAGGAGCATTCGGGGTGATTTATGAAGGACGGCTGTTTTTCCATTACCCAGATGTAATGGCTTTCATATCCAGGAGCCTCACATCTGTGTTTTATTTGTCTAACCTTTGAATTTCTTCATAGAGCCTCCTCTCAACTGGGGTCCTCGGCTCAGGGTTTATATTTAGTGTTTCATTATATAAAGACACAATGCTGAGTCCCCAGTTACCATGACAACCAATCACAGTGCAATTTCCAAGGGCTGTTTTACAAACTGGCAGCGAGCGGGTCTTTTATGTTACTTCAGTCGGCTGTGAATTTCAGATTTTTATAAACCGTACAAAGGCTGTGTGTCTTGAACTAATACTCATGCAGGGATTTAGAGGAGGGCAGAGAGCCGTGTAGCTAATGCCACTGGTTTTTTTAACGAGGGTTAGGAGAATATTTGGGGTGGTTGCACAACTTTCGGGAGCTGCTGGAGTCTCCTTAGAATATCAAGGGGCACAGATTGCTGCAACTGGGTTACATGTCTTAAGCAAAGAAAAAGAATCCAACAGAGATCCCAAGGTTGAAAAGCCAGAAAAGAAAAAGGCGTGCAGCTTAGCTGTCTTGGAGATTAATCATCAGCAAAAACTCTGACCCGATGCCTTCTATTCTTATTTTACAGAAGGAGGCTAAGGAGGGGAAGAAAGACAAGGACAGTGATAAAGAGGATGAAGACGCAGGTAAATGGGGGAAAATAGAAAGAAAGATGCATTCGTTTAGCAGTAACCGTATTCCTGTAAATAAGGACAATAAATACTGCAGGAAGAAAGGCTCCAAACCCATGTATGAAACACATCACTGCTTTTCTGGCTCCTTTGTAACAAACTGATGAGTCTACTGTGGCTCATGAGCTGACGACACAAAGTTTAAACACCGTTTACACACGGATTAGCTAACTGGAAGAAAGCAAGGGCATAAGGAACTTTTTCTATATTACAAAAGCAAATCTGCAGCTCACTAAGTGAAGGAGTGCTATCCTCTGTCCTCCAGGCCCTCCATGTGGTCCCATCTGCACCAATGAGAAGGTGGAGAGCCTCCTGCCGAAGGTCAAAACTGAGATCCAGACACTGAAGGAGAAGCTCAACACGGTCAGTCTCAGAACTTTATGTGGAGAAAAATTTGTTGGGTTTTTATGTGCAGAAAATATTAATGTGATAAAAAGTCTTGTATATTGTACTAGTGGGGGTTTTTTTCTTTTTATTTTCCTGGAAGGTGTCAATGTGGGTGCAACTCCAGATTCCTAAAATTGAGGATGGGAACAATTTCGGAGTGGCTGTCCAGGTTAGTAAACAATCACATGTGGAGTCTATCTTTAGGGTGAAATTTATCCAGCTGCATTTTAAATCTTCCTTCGTGTCCACCAGGAGAAAGTGTTTGAGCTGCTGACCAACACACGCACCAAGATCGAAGGATTCCAGACTCAGATTTCAAAGTAAGAGTCTGCACTGACGTAGCCAGGAAAACAGACCTGACATTACTCCATCAAAAGTATTTGGCAGAGAAAACCACAAAACCTGCTGCGCTCAGTATCATAAGAATATCCACAATTACTGAGAAATCTATACAGATAAACAGCAATTCAGGCTTTCAGAGGGTCTCATCCATCTTTATTTAGTGAAGTCAAACAGAAAAAAAGTCATATAGATATAAGCAGAATCAGAAAGGCTTCAATTCCACATTTAAAAGTGAGAAAATCTTAACAGAGATAATGAGAGGCAGTCTTCTGCTTTGTCTTTTTATTAAAAACCAGACTGATGTGTTGAATATGGCATTGGATGTGACATTTAGCGAAACGCTGGGGGCTATTTTAAAACAGGTGGGTGGTACTGTAACTCCTCTCTTCTCCTTGTTTTGGCAGGTATTACAACGAGAGGGGTGACGCTGTGGCCAAAGCCTCCAAGTCGCCCCACGTGGTCAGTGTCTCCCGCTGTGCATCCTAATCAGCATATTAATGTGTGAATGACAAAAATGTGTGCCGGTGCGCTGAAAAAAAAACAACTTATGAGGACATTCTCTCCCGCATAAATTAGTTGCTGTTGTGTCATGTGCTTATCATACTACACATTGTTTTGCTAATACGCTCGCTGTTTGTGGTGTGGGTTTTCTGCTGCAGGGAGACTACAGACAGCTGGTCCACGAGCTGGACCAATATCAATACTGCGAGCTCCGCCTTGTGGTCTTGGACATCCGCAATACATACGTAAGACACCTACTGCCTCTTGCTTACAGTTGGCCCTCTCTGACTGCGTGTATCCTGAATCTCATGACCCACACTCCGTGTACCATCTGCTGTTTTCATGCTCTGTATTTTAAATTGAGCGGCTTGGGTGTAAAATATGCCTGTCGTGTCCACCGGCGGGAGCGGCAGCTTAAATGGAATCCATTCCTTCTTAATAGGAGGGTAATTAAACTAATTGCAGTGCTTGTGTTAAATTGATTGGCGCTCCGTCTCCCGTCCATTAATCAGCTCGTCTCTTTCCTTCGGCCATTGTCCTCCCGTGTTTGATGCCGCTAATGAACAAGGCGTTGCGGGCGATGATGAAAGGAGCTGTTTGACGTGATTACAGCTCCATATCTGGACGTCCCTCTCTTTTATGACTCCCTGTAAACTGTCTGTCTTCCCTATATCATCAGTGCATCACACTCTGTGTCTTTATTTCTCTCTCCAGGCTGTGTTGTTTGACATCATTAACAAGAACTTTGACAAGATTAAGAGACCCAGAGGAGATGGGAAAGCGCTCATCTACTGAGGCAGACTCCAGGCTCGTTTTTTTTTTTTTAATAAGCAACAACCAGTGTAGAATGACACTCTTCATCAAGTAATGATACACCTGCTCCCAGAAATCTTTTTCTAACTGTGCCTGCATTTTGGTTCAGATTACACAATAAAGCAGCAGTTTTTCTCACTTACTTTGTCTGAATGAGATTTCTAAGCTTTTTTTTGGACTAATTTTGACCTCTAAAGAAAGCAAACTATTAACGTGATGTCACATTTACAGCATGCAGTCTTAAAAGAGGGTTTGGAAGTTTGTTCCAAAGCTTTGAAGGACATTTCAGTGCCAAAATCTAACCATTTTCATTAAGCGTGCCACACTACTAAGGCTGTTTGTTGGTGTAAACCGTGGTAGAAAGTCCCTCTCTGGGCAAACCAGGACAACCCCATCTCGATCCGAGTCTATACAATCCCTGATAGAGTCCTCTCCACCCCAGGTAGCCCAGAGCTCCACCCAGCTGCTGGGAGGGAAACTTTGGGAAGTATGCAAGCAAACAAAGCAGCAGAAACATCCAAACAAGGAGGAGAAGAACACACAGGAGGAAGACGACTCTCAGCGGGGTCCCGGGTGACCTCTGCAGAGGCTTTTGTCGCTCCAAGTGATGACCAAAGACACACATTTCCTCGACAAGCAGCAGACAGCAGAAGCAGAGGATGAGGACGTCCTGGGAGACTTCGTAGCCTCGCCACAGCATGTGGGCTTTCAGGCAGGAGGCCTTGTTCTGGTCTTCATGCAGGAGCAGCAGAGGCTGTACTGGGGAGGCCGGGCTCTGGCCGTCCTGGCCTGGGGTCATGGGCTCGTAACAGGTCCCCGCTGCATCCTCCAGCAGGGTCAGGAGGCGCTGACAGCTCCACCAGAGCAAACCTGTGAGGCCTACTCGAGAGAGGTGGCGGAGGGAAAGAGAGGTGGAGTGACGGACTGAGAGGGAGAGAAGGATGATGAAAGCGCCCGTAAAGATGCAGGTCCAACCCCAAGTGGACCTCAGGAACTTCCTGTGAGAGCGTGATGAATAAGGATATCAGTACACACCATATATATGAGCAAAACACACGCAGTAATGAAATATGTGTAGAATTACTTTTCCCTCACAGTCACAGCAACAGGAGGATCCTGGGGAGGTTGAAAGTCAGGCGTTCATGCTCATAATCACAATTTGGGGCAGTTTAGATTCGCCAGTTACCCTGACATTTATGTCTTTGAATTGGCGGAGAAAGCCAGAGAAAGAACATCCAGACTCCACACAGAACACGCAAAGACTTCAGGCAGCCAGCAGGTCAGATCCAGGAGCTTCTTGCTAACACAGTGCTCAGAAAGTAAATCTATTTTTGATATGCATAAAAATTCAAGCTTTACAGCAAAGCTGAGTCTTTTTAACTTTTTCAGTTCAGTCAAACTTGCTTTGAGGTATCAAAGTTGATGAGCCGGTGGTTTCACTTAATTAGTTCCATGTAAGTGCACTGAACAGTCTGAGGAAGACTTTAATTCTGCTACTGCCTCATAGTTATCATCATACCTCAGAATGACATTATCATACAATATTTATGTGCTGCTTTTGTTTTTCAAAAGTGGTATATTAATATTGTATTGGTTTTTGGGTGGGGGTTTACTCAGTGTATGTGACAAATGAGTGGCAGCAAAGCATCCACAAAAATAAATGAGGAATAATTTAATATCATAACTGCATTTTAAAAATATGTGATGGATTATATGAACCTAAAACAGTGGGCCAAATGACATTATGATGATTGTGAATGCTGAACTGTATTGTTCCACAAGCTGACTCAGAATAAAGACTCAGTGAAAGTTTGCCATCAAAACAGATTAAGTAGGGCTGAAGCAGTAAAAGCCCAGCGAGCACTACAGTGAGCAAGGGTGCGCTGGGTTTTATTACCGAGTCAAGAGTTTATTAAAGGAGCAGTGTCTTTATCAAAGATATACAGTTTCTTTTAGCAATGACAGCAGTTACTACAGCTATTTCAGTCAATTATTTCCATCCAATTAAATCATGATAAATCATTGCTAAACTCTCCACAAACAGGTCCTCCACCTATCTCCACCTAATAGCCAATTCTGGCCCCTGTGCTTTATGTTTGACACCCCTGGTGTACGCAAAGCACTATAAGCAGTAATTCATTGTCTCCCGGAGTCCTCACCTGTACAGGTAGTGGTTGCTGTTTGCAAAGATGCTATACTTTGATACCCAGAAGCTGAGCACAGGCCCAAAGAGGACCAATCCAGACAGCAGCAGGTGGAAGTGTCTTCTGATCAGGCTGCTTCCTAAAACTCGGGCCAGAAAGTTTGTAACAAACTCCAGAACAGTGTTCAGGAGCCTCAAGATGGATCGTCCAGGCAGTATCAGCTCTGCAGCCATCCGGTGTAGTTTATCCAAACTGATCTCTGGTGTGAAGCCATTTGAGGAGTTTCCTGTCTTTAGATTCATGTTGTTCGACCCACGTTCGTCCTCCCTCTCTGTGGAGTCTGCCTCGCTTGCTTTTGTCTGGGAAAAGGACACCCGTCCCACTCCAGGACCTTTCTATTCTATCACTGTCAGGCACGCGAGAGAACACATGGTTTACAAAAATACAACCCCCCCTCCATGTCCCCTTTACCCTCAAAACCCCTCCCCCGTAGGCAGAAAGAGGAGATGCAGTAATGCTTGCTGCTGTAATTGACCCCATTATTTTCACAGCAATGCTCAAACACAATTAAAAAGTAAACAAAATTAATCTTTAGTTCATGACAAAAATCCCAGTTCTTTTAAAATAGCTCTCGTGATGCTGCTCACTTATATTTGCATTTCCTGCATTGGGAAAAGTAATAATAATAGTAGTCTCATTCTGACCTTGGATCATTTAGCTCCTTTTCCGGTTCTCTCCTTCAGGACTCTCCAGTCTAAGAATGAGCTGTTGGAGCCAAAACTAATTTAAGTTATAAGCGGTTGCCAGCTTGCATTTGGCGCCATGGACAGCTGCATTTCTCACAGCACGTTCAGTCTGCTTTATTTCCAGGCTCAGTACTCAGGCTGGAGCTTCTTAAAGCCCCCCTTCAACCGTCTGAGCCAAATGGACTGCATTTAGTCTTTCCGTGGTACTCATGCTCACATAAAGCACACTGATGCCGTTTTCACAAGCCAGTGCAGACTAATGGCAGACGGACTGCTAACTTCCATGAGGTGGTGGATTTTTGGTTTCTCTCGTTAGTCTTCAAAGTTATTCAGAGAAAGCTTTCCAGTGTAGTAAATAATAAATGATGAGTGCAAACTTTTGAAATTCACTGTGATGATGCACTTTTCCAGCAGAGCTTTGGAGTCTTTTGTAAGAAGTCAGAACAGTAGGTGTAAATGAAACCAGGCACGCCAAAGTATGTTAGGTCTAATTTTAGGCCGGTAAGTGCACTGCTGACATTACAATGACCTTCAGACAACTTTGCTATGGCTCCTGTAGCAGCTAATTGTCAACTGTGTGCATATCTGGCAGCTGCAGTTAGCTCTATAAAACACACAAAGAAGCTCAATGACAAATGTTTAAAAATCCCATCCCGTGAGTCATGTGTGTTGTTTGAAGTGTCGTTCTAGTTTCTCCTGCAGCTCCCACACTTTTAAAGCCTGAAACATCTGATCAATGACCAACAGCCCCTTCGTGATACGTTTGAAGAAAGGTTTTTATTATAACTGCAAAGTCTGAGAGTGAAATATGAGCTTTGATATAAACACCTGAAAATTGCATATACAGATCATTTTGAAACCATGTGCGTGTTCCCCTTCCCCTAAGTGCTGACTTGAACACATTAATCACACACAATCAAATCTTTGAATCAAATCACAGGCTTACATTTAGCCAAAAATTACACTGAGTGCTGACCCTGGAACGAGAATATTGCTGTGTCTGAGGGACAGGGAGTTAACATTAGCCTTGAGGAAGCCTACAGAGGATTCAGAATAACAGCGAAAACTTTCAAACTCTTTCTGATGAGGCAGACCAGGTCGAATAATGACTGAAACTTCCTTGAGCGTGTCGAGTTTTGAATAAACTCAGGAAAGCTAACGCAATTATCAGCTTCATGAGTTTGCCAACTGGAAAAAAAATGTTTATGATTATATGTTGAGTCTGTAAAGGTAGATGTTCCCTAAAATAGGACACAGCCTGTGTTGTGTTATTCATAACAGCAGAGTCCAAACAGACTCAGGACACTGACGACAATCTAAATACACTCCCTGAACACACACGCGCGCACACACACAAACAAATTAAAATTCTATACATTTTTACAAAATTATCATCATTACGTTCCCCTGCAACATCCAAAGTTGTTGTTTTTTCCATAT